GGATTGTTTTTCTATATCTGTGAAATATGCCATTGGAATTTTTATAGGAATTGCATTGGATCTGTAGAACAGTTTGGGTTATGAACATTGTAACAATATTAACTCTTCCAACCTATGAACACAGGATCTTTCCATTTATTTGTGTTTTCTCCAATTTCTTTCATCAATTTTTTAACAAGAGACAAAGAAGATCATTTTATAATGATAAAAGTTACAACTCATCAAAAGATGTAAAAATTATAAAAATATATGCATCCAAATTAGACACACACACATACAGTAAATATTCACAGAGCTGTAGAGAGAAATAGACAACAGTACAATATTAAAGGGCTTCAATATTTCACTTTAATAGACAGGTAATCTAGATAGAAAATCAGTAAAGAAACTTTGGATTTGAACAATATCTGAGAAGGATGGGCCAGATGGAGCAGAACATCCCACCCAGCAGCAGCAGTGCACATGTTCTTCCCAAGTGCACACAGCACGTTCTCCAGGATAGATCATATGTTAGGCACAAAACAAGTCTTAATAAATTTAAGAAAACTGAAATCAAATCAAGTGTCTTTTTTATCAGAGTTTAATGGAACTGGAAATCAGTAACAGTAGGAAAACTGGAAACCCACAAATATGTGGAAATAAAACAATACATTCCAAAAGAAACCAATGGATCAAAGGAGAAATCAAAAGGGAATAAACAAAAACAAAACTTGAGACAAATAAAATGGAAACACAACATACCAAAGTTTGTGGAATTGTGCTTTATTATGTGCACTATCTTAGTATAGGCATCTTATCAGATTTAAAGGGTAACCACAGAGAGCTAAACTGGGCCTCAAGGATGCCCTTTTCTTAGTAGGTTAGTTATAAATTGTTTCAACCTAAAGCAAGAGAAATCTGTTCTGTGTATTTTCCTTTAAGTCAAACTACAGAACAGACATGAACCAAAATTCTGTAAATTTACAGTTACCAGCTCTGGGAAGACAAAAAGAAAGTCAGAGGAAGACAGAAAACATTTCACCTCATGCCTAGTTCAGAGTTAACAGCCTCTTTGAAGCAGGGCTTCTCAAGCTAGAGCTATAGCCCCACAAAATCAACATGATTGTTCACGTATGAGGATACATCTTACCCTCTTTACATGTTTATGTAAGACTTTGTAGAATTATGAATACTTCTATTTCTGAGGTGTCCAAATATATAGGATTAATCCTTTAATTCAACAAATCCAAGTCATTCAAATTACTGTGATGACTGTGTGAAAGGGAGTTTAGGAATGTGGGATTGACGTGACCATCTTGAGGAAATCCATACTCTGAAACTGACAGTCATTTATGTCTCTCTACTCTTATAGAGTGGAAGTTGGAACTTCACCGGTATTGCTAAATTTAAATATAATAACATTTGTGTACTAATTCAGTGAACATCGGAAATACTCGGTAAATAGTTTGGCCAACCTTATTAGTGGTGAATTATTTCAGTCTTTATCTTAGTTATTATTTTCTCTGGTCTTTTTTTTCATGTTGTCCTTCTTTACATTTAAGAGTGTGTGTGTGTGTGTGTGGTGCATATGCTTGTGTATTTCACTTCAAGAAGCCTTTACATTAGTACATACAAGCCCCCAGACAAACTCCCTTCACTCAAGCCTAATCATTGACACACCATGCCATTTATGCAATGAATTTAGCTTCAGAAAAAACAAAAAACAAAACAAAGAGGAAAACAGCTGAGAAGATGTGACTTGGCAACTTGGCAACAGCTGGTGTAGAAAGAAAAATGCCTGAGGATAATTAGTGGTTATGTTTGGTGTGATCCAGTCTGATGAAGCTCCCACTGTCATCTGAAGGCATAGTGACAGCTGAATATTCAGAGCCAGTAAGTTGTTTTTTGTGTGCTTTGAAGAGAATAATACAGACCATACTTGAAACAGTGTGTTCTGTCCTGGGTATCACAATAATGAGGAACATAAACAGAATTATGAATATTGACTCCTATTGGCAGAGTCTATGGTTTTTCTTTAAATCATTTAACAAAACATTTTTAATGAATAATTTTAAACATGCAGCAATGTTAAAATAATTTCATAGTGAATCCTTGTAAAGCACCACCTGGATTGTATCATTAATAATTTTTAATACTTTTATCAATTATCTATTCATCTATCTACCCATTAATCCATCTGTGATGCAATTCAAAGTAAATTGCAGATATCAGTACCCTTCCCTTTAAAAACCCTCATATCACATATCACAGTTAAGACTACACTAAAAAGAATGTATGTTTACATTCTTTTTTTTTAATTTACAGTTTGCAGACTATGATATGCGTATATCTTGTGCATATTCACTGAGGTTTGACAAATGGATACATTTCCAAACCCAAACTCCTATACTTTGACTATTGATTTTCTATATGTAACTTGCCTCTTCTTTCTAAGAAATATAAGTTTTCTGGTCTTTGTGGTTTATTTTTTACATGCTTCCCTTTCATCCCCCAAAGATTAGCTCAGAACTAGACAATGTATGGTGTTTTGATCATTTATTTAGTTATGGCACGCACCTGAAACAGGCGTTGAGATAAATGGTGGTCTTCAGAGATTTGCATGAGGTCGGCCAAACAGCAGAAGGTGACCCAAGAGGCATTCCAGGCAGGACACGGCAAGGAGGTGGACATGCACTTTTTGTCTAGACAGCTTACCGGAACCTGACCTGGGTAAAGGGGACAGTTCCAAAAGAAGATGGGATGGCCAGTTGATAGGCACTATTTTCAAAGATGCACAATGACTCAGTTACCAAACTACATGTAGTATTCTATGTGTTTACACTAGAAGTGTCTAAATTACTTCTGGGAGTAAAAACCAAAGTGGAGAAGAGGGCTCGAGTTACCTAATGAGCAGGGAATTTCATGAACAGATAAAAAGAGGACAGCAAAAAACAGTTGATGTAAATTTTCAAAATGTTCAATGAACAGAAAATGGACATTTAGAAGACTGTTTAAATAAATACTGAGGAAAAGAACAAAAGTATCCTGCTCAGTGAAGACAGTATAAGGCTGAAACTGATGACAGAGTGCAATAATAAAAGCTATTCATTTTGAACTCTTTTTACATAGCAGAGACGAAGTGCTTACGTGCATCATTTTCTTAATCTTCACAAAAAGTTTAGGAGGGAGTATCTCCATTTTAGAGATGGAGAAATCATACTACAAAGAAGTACATGTCAGAGCTTATGTCAGAGCTGTGACTCACGTTCTGGTTGGTGTGACTCTAAGAGCCACCCTCCTTTAGTCACCTTACCCAAATTATATATTACATGGTTATTTTTCTCCAGCAAGGGGAATAGTCTTTAAGCTTGGAGAAGGGCAAGTACCACACTTGGAAGAGTAGAAGGTATACATTTTCCCAGCATAACCCAAACCACTCCCTAGCTCTTTATCTGAGTGTCAGATGCTTCCCCTAGTTTGGTGTGGTCCTCTTCAACTATATACATAAAGGGTAATATTTATGTGCATAAAATATAATTGAGATTTTTGAAGTAGGAAACAGTCTTAATATTTATTGTTAACACATTCTAAACATCAGAATAAAGGTGAAAATCTTAACAATGACTACAGAGGCTTGGGTGCTTCCAGTTCATTCCTCTCTGACCTCATCACCTACTTGCCCACTCACTCCACTTCCGTCGCCGCTGCGACCTTGCTGAACCTTGAACAACTCAGGCATGCTCCAGCCTTAAGGACTTTATTCTGGCTTCTGCTCTTCTGCCAGATATTCGCTTGGCCGACTCTCTCATCTCCACATCCTCCCAATAAAAACCCTCCTAACAACCTGACTTAGCACCGCGGTTGGCCTCCACCTCTACCCAAGTATTACTACGTCATGTACTTGTTCATCATGTTTACTGTTTTTGTTATTTCTCCCTGTTGGAAGGCAAACATCATTAAGATATGGAATTTTTGCCCTCCTCACCCTCTCCCATAACTGTATCCCAAGCACCTTAGAACAAAGCCTGCCACAGAGCAGGCACCCAGTAAATGTTTGTTGGCAGAAGGATGGTTATTACCTAGTACATAGATCTAGAGATGTCTTCTATGTGTGTTCATCCAGGAAGATGTTATTTGTAAAAACACGCTGTAGTGCATGAAAGCACTCAGAGGAAGATTCCCCAAAACTTCCATCTGAATTGCTCAGAATGAAATATTTAGATATCAAACTTGTCTTCATGGCATTGATACAGCTGCACAGAGACTGAACCCATCAAAACAGTTGTTTTGACCTAGACTTTTCCACTAACTGAAGCTTTTTTCTTTGACAGTAACTAATTAAAACTTTCCCTGAGCCTTAAGATTCCTCATGATTCATCCAGTTTTCTCATTTCATGATTAAGATCGATTGACTACATTCTTTAAATGCACACACTTTTAGGGACTTTATATATCTGTTCACAATTTATTGAATAGTGATTATTTATTAAATGTTTATTCCCTCCTTTCTATCTGCTAGACCCTTTGATATTGGTAGGAAGACATAGTATATAGTCCAAATCTACCATTCCATAGAAATGAGAAAACTATGGTCTAGAGAGGATAAATGTTCTATATAAATATTTCATTTTTATACAAAATTTTTATATAAAATTTTTATATAAAATGCTTTGTTTTTATATAAAATAAAAGTAGTTCTTTCCTGAAATTGGGAAGAATGAATATCACATGGTATAAGACTTAAACAATAGATGTCATAAAATAATTTAAGTGTAATATATGATCATGGTATTAAAAATCCTTTATTATCCACAAGGAAGTTCCAAGAATAAGAGAGGAGAAGGATTTTCCCAAGAGGAATTTTCTCAAGTCCCAGAGTGACTGCATGGTTGATTGAGATCAGAAAAAGGTCTTTTTATCCAAGTTTATTCTGGGTCAGGTATTCCATATCACATCTGTATGTTTTCTTGATCTCAAAGTAAAAAAATACAAGCAATACTTCTTCAGAGTTTACTTTATTGACAAATGAATCAAGGGAAATATATAGTGAACTGCCCAAGACCCAGAGTAGAAGATGTCTTTATAAATTTAAGAGATCTGCAAGAGAAAAGTAAAAGCAGAAACAAGAAAAGAAGGATGAGAGACATGGCAAGTCAGCACAAAACACGGGCTCTAATTCAGCATTTTCCATAATGCTTTAGGCTGATCTTCCCACCGCTTTTCCTATAAAAGAGAAAGACAAAAATATATTCATCACAGAAGTTATATATAGGTTTAGTTATGTCTTAGTCCATGTAATCACTAGATTCTACAGGTACTCATGTCTATAATCTGGCAGAGGTTAATTAAATGCACTTAGAGATGACACCTGGTCAAATTACAGGAAGCATGAATCTTAAACAGTTTTCATAAGGCTTAGAACTTTCAGTTTCAAATGTTCATTTTCTGAGAGTAAATATTCATACAACTGGGAAAGGTTAAAGTGACAGGAGAGATAATGGCAAAGAGACTTTAGTGTCATAGTTCTATCCTGATAGAATATGTAAGAAATTGAACTAAATATTCAGGCATTTGGCATTTTATAGCACACCATGTATTCAATCCTTCTCAGTGATATGTCCATTAAATTAAATCTCATCTTACCCTACTGTCTCTCTCACAGGAAAAAAAATGCTATTAATTAGATATGCTATATATGAACGTAGGCACATATTTATTATGTAGTGATTCAATATTTATTAATTTCATTCTATGTGATTGGCCATATTATCATTATTATTATTGATAGGGAGTTATATAACCTCCTTGTTCAGGAATTACACAGCAAAAAATGAGGGAAATTAAGCTAGTAGAAATTCTAAGATAAGAAAATGAAGACATGAAGACAGTAGTGAGGAAGTGAGGTAACTTTTATCTGGGTTAAATAAGGGTTATAATTCTCTACTTTTACAGCAAAAACAAATAATCCTAAAATGTGCATGGAACCACAAAGGACCCCTGAATAACCACAGCAATCTTAAGAGCAACAAAACTGGGTGATTTGTTCTTCTTAAAATGTCAACTCTTAGTTTCAGTCTATACTTTTGACCACACTTAGATGGTCAATTAATCTATGACAAACAGGCAAGAATACACCCTGGGAAAAAGATAGTCTATTTGATTAATGGTGTTGGGAAAACTGGACAGCTCCATGCAAAAGAATGAAACTGGACCACTTTGTATACCATATAATAAAATGGACTGAAGACTTAAATGTAAGACCTGAAACCATAAAGGTCTCAAATGAAGACATAGATGGCAAGCTCAGCTTTTTGACATCAGCTTTAATCATTTTTTTTGGATGTCTCTTTACTCAAGGGCAACAAAAACAAAAATAAACAATTGAAGCTACATTAAACTAGAAAGCTCTTGCACAACAAAGGAAACCATCAGCAAAACAAAACAACCTACTGAATGGGAAGAAACTTGTAAACAATGTATCTGATAAGGGGTTGATACCCAAAATATATAAAGAACTCATACAACTCAACAACAACAAAACAACGAGTAAACAGTGGGTCAAGGACCTGAATGAGCACAGAGATGGCGAACAGGCACATGGAAAGGTGGTTGATATTGTTGGCCATCAGGGAAGAGCAAGGCAAACCCATGGTGAAATACTGCATGCCTGTCAGAATGGCTGTTATTAAAATGACAAGGAATAACAATTGTCAGTGAGGATGTGGGGGGAAGGGAACCCTCATGCCCTGCTGGGACTGTAAGCTGGTATAGTCCCTGTGGGCATCAGTATGGAGGCTCCTCAAAAATTAAAAATACCCTATGATCCAGAAATTCCACTTCTAGGAAGTGGAATGTTTAATGAAGAAAATGTGAACACTAATTTGAAAATACATATGTACTCCCACATTCATTGCAGTATTATTTACAATAGCTAAGGGATGAAAGCAACTTAAGTGCGTTGTGCACACACACACACACAATGGAATATTACTAATCCATAAAAAAGAATGAAATCTTGGCATTTTCAATAACATGGATAGACCTAGAGGGTATTATACTTAGTGAAATAAGTCAGACAGAGAAAGACAAATACCATGTTTCACTTACATGTTAAATTTAAATATCAAAAAAAGAAACAAAACAGAACAGAAACAGACTCAGAGAACAAACTGCTGACTGTAAGAGGGGTGCAGTTGGGGAATGGATGAAGAGATGAAGGAGAGTAAAAGGTATTAATTTCTAGTTATAAAATGAAGTCCTGGGGATGTAATGTACAGCATAGAAAATATAGACAATAGTATTGTAATTATATTGTTTAGTGACAGAGGGTAACTAAACCTAATGAAGTGATCATTTCATAATGTCTAAAAATATTGAGTCACTATCTTGTATACCTGAAACTAATATATTGTACATCAATTATAATTCAATAACAATAGGATTGATTAATTAAATACATTTTTATTAATTATAAACTGTATTCCATAGGAAGCTCCCAGTATGTTGGCTAAAATCTATAACACCTGCTGTGTTCCTTAAAAATATGTGAGTTCAATAAAATTTGGCCCTTTATAAATCTCCCTAGTATACTATCACTAAAGTTTGAATAGTCCAGATAAAATAAAGGTAATCCTCTCCTCTATTCTTTGTTGGAAACCTCTTTTCATGAGACTAAAATAGGAAAGAACGGGAATTGATGTCTGAGCAACATATAATTTGGTATGAAATAAAATGTCTGAAAATCTAGATAAAATAATATTTTTACTGATGATACATGGTCTCCAAGTTTTCATGTTTCTAATGTTGATGCATTTTCAAACTTAACTGCATCTCTAAAAATTTCCTTCATCTTTTCCAAAGTTAATAATAATAACAAGAACAAACATAATTGGGTGAATATTATTGAAATTTTAAATTAGAAATAAATGGAAAAAAATGAGAAAATATATCAAAATTCTTAAAGATGTATAAATTTTTAAAAAAATTTTCCAGGATTCATACCTATAATAACAAAGCAAATGATATATGTTTTCAAATAATTTAACATGTACTTTTTTTTAAAACCATTTGTTTTTGATCCGTTTGCCTGAAGTTTATTTCTTCAGTCTCTATGGGTGTATATGTGCAGAACTTTCTAGAATATGACAAGGAAAGTGTCATAGTCTTATTCTGGAAGGTTGTCCTAGCAAGGGACAGGGTTGGTGAGTGTGATACTTACACCACCGCCTTACAGAAGGCACATCTGTTGCCATATGTCTGGCCATCAGAGCCACAGTGGGGATTCGATTCTCGAGTGCAGAACACGTTAGGGTCCTGGAACTTGCTGCAGTCAACCTACCGAAGTGAATGCAGTGACATTGGCATTAGTGCATTCTGCCTGAGGGACTGCCCCTCAGAACAGAAGCAAAGCTTCTTGAAATAGAAAATCGCTTCCTGTATCTGCTTGACTTGAACATATTAAACATAACTGAAACTTTTCCTTGAGACACTGGAAACCTATTTCTGCAGGTTTGTATTCAGAGGAGTTAATGTTGCAAGGCAGATGCTATCTGTAGCAGATACATTGTAAGGAATAAGGCAAATTCTATCTATAGACATGTATATTCATCTGCTCCACACTGAATTGTTCCAACTGAGAGTAGTGTTTGTTTTTTAGATGACATTTGTTCCAGGTTTTTGTTTGTTGTTTTTTAGTGTATATTATTAATGTAATACCAACAGCACTCATTCTGCATGCTCGAAGATAGGGATAGTCAGTGCAAGGGCCTCCCAGATGTTAACTGATGGCTTGTTAGTTTCCCTGTGGTGGCTACATCCATTTATTATCTTGTCAAAACAAAATTCAAATGTCTTTTCATTAACTTCCTGCCTGAGAGTCTGTTTGGAGAATTTAAACTCTCTGTCTACCACAATCACCCATGAATGGCCACCTAAGCTGCTGTATTAGGAAGGGTTGTGAGGTTGTGTCTAGCCTTGTTGGGAACATGTGCTCTGAGTAATAATTACCATCACAGGCTCTATAGCAGGAAGGCTACTTAATACGCTAATGATATAGCCCTACTAATACAGCATTCTCTCAGAGGTAGTCTTAAGAGCTTTATGTTTGGAGTTCTAAGTTTCTGTTCAGTGTCAGATGAGTCAGTATCTGGTGTGCAAATGACATTTGAGCCATTTTATTCCAGGATACAGGTAATATGCAATAGGTAGACCTGAACTACTCCAAATGTTAGCTACGTGGGATGAAGTGACATTTGAACATGAATAGAGAGACTGTCCCTTTACCCCTATTTTGGTTCCATTAAAATAATACCATCTTACATTTATCAATTGCTTCATAATACCCAAACTAGTCTCATATGGATTATTAACTCAATGGAGTCTCACATTAATCCTGAGATATACATTGAACAATCCTATATTAACCAGTTTACAAATGTGGATTCTGATCCTAAGGAAAATGATGCCTTACCAGTGCCACACAACCAGCAATCAATGAGACCAGTGCTTAAACATAGTCCTTGTTGCTGATCCTATTTTACCTATTGCATATTGCCTGTACCCTGATTACTGACGCAGAATTTCTAGCAAATCTACTGTGGTTAATTTCCAACTCATCTTCATGAAGAGAAGTAAAGATCAAAGGTCACTATGTACCCTTGACCACATTTGTAGTTGGGACATGTGGGCTTTATTAACATACCTTATTAGGGGACTGTACAGGCATAGATAAGAGGAATCATTTAAGATATCAGTAAGCTGTTGTGTACTGGTAAAGCTCTCTAAAAGTTTTCATGGGGAAATGCTCAGCCAGAGCCATACAGTTGAGTTTGAAATATTATCACATAGATTTAAGCCACCTGAGACCATTCAATAGACATTTTTTTGAAATTTGGCAGTCTTTTAGTATTGAGGTTGGGAAGTGTAGTACAGAGATCTTCTTAGGGCATGACTGGTTACAAGATGCTAGGGTTACAGTCCCACTTTGCAGTCCTACTTTCCCCACAGTTCTTAAAGACAACTGAATCCTTTCGTATTATTTCCAGGACAGTAATCTTCTTTTTAGATCTCCAAATGGAAACATGGTTAGAAAATCTTTAGGGCAGTATAAACCATAGGATAATTTCTTCTCAATTTCTAATGTATTTTCTATTTAAGTCACTGGTGTACAAATTTACAATTGTGTGTTTGAGTCCAGAAAGGACTGTACACCACAGAATCATCACTGATATTTTCATTTATTCCACAGACAGCAGGTAACTATTATTTGGAAGATATGTTGCTGGGTAATAGTGATACAAAGAGGAATCAGTTATAAACACTATCTTGATAAGCTCACCATCTTATCTGCACTAAGGAAGCAGAGAAGAACATGGATAATTACAGCATGATGTGTAATAAATGCCACAGTGGGACAAGGCCAGGCAATGTGGGAACTGAGAGAAAGGCATCTCGGTCAGATGTATGTTGTCTCTACAGCAGGTCAGTGCGGAAAATAAAAAGGAAAGTCTCTTACATGAAAGAGACACCTCCTTAAGATACCTTTTCTTGGCAATTGGCCCTCTGATCTTGTGATCCAGCCTCTTTTGTCCTTTAAAAGCAAATACAAAAGTGGCACTTGGGGAAGGTGTTCACTTTGAGAGATTCTAGGCACCACCTCCCTCCCCAAGCCCAGTTTTCTCCTTCCACTGCTCCCTGGGAATGAGACTAGGAAGAACAAAACATTTTAATAAATAAAACAGAATCAATCAAATGGCATATGTTCTTAGAACATAGATACGTTTCATGCTTTTAAATTGCTATAGTGGCCGTTGGTGATTCCTGAATTAAGCTAAAGACTCATGTTCTAGAACTTGACTGCTATTCGTCATCAGCTCATTGTGTCTTGGGCAAAGTACTCAACATCTCAATTTTCTTCACCAAAATTAAAAAAAACAGTTGCCATGCTTCTTTCCCAATGTGGTTTTAATAAGGATCAAATGTGGTCATACAAAAGTGGGAGAAAGTCAGTGTGGGATATTTGAAATAGCCTTAGACTAAGAGTGCAGGAAACAAGCTTCTGACTGTGGGCCTGCCCGAAATGTAGCTTTCCATGAAAGGGAAAGGTATTTGTAACTCCTACAAAATGCTAAGTACCATCAGACACTAGAAGGTCTCTAATGGCCCTTCCAGCTTTGAAGGTCCAAGATGTAGCAGTGACTTCTTTAGGTGTGGTGGCTTAAATAAAGCTAAGACCTTAGGTCTTCGACTGGGTGGAGAAATAGCAACTACTGCCTAAATGCTCCTTCCTTGATATCTAGAGAACCCTCTTTACTCACTGTGTGCCTGGGGACAGAAAAGGGCCACTGAGAGCCCCAGAAGCTAGGAAAGGTGAGTGGGAGCCTTACGGAAGTGACCAGGGTGAGGCAGGGAACTGTCAGGGTTGGGACTAGAAAGAGACCACGGCTGGCTACAGTTTCTGAGTGTCATGCATTTCCTCTAACGAAATTTCCTCTCTTTTACATTTTTTATTTAGGCTCCTTTAAATAGAGTCCAAACAATTGGCTTCTCAGTAGAAGTCAAGACAAATCTAAATGTAGGGTGATAATAGGATTTTTTTCTCTCTTTAACATTTCCTCTATGAGACTTTTAAGAGACCCAGGAGAGCTGAAATCCATTCTCCCACCTCTGCTGCAGACTATTTAAAGTGCCCTAATGCTCTGCAATGATGGGAGACTGTCCTGTAAGTGGAATTAGACTGACCTGGGTTTGAATTTTGCTTCTCCCACTTATTAGCTGTATTACCATGTGCAAACACGTCTCTGCTCTGAGTTTAAATTTATTCATCTTTAACAGGAAGCTGGCAACACCTATCATCTATGGTTATTGTAATGATAAATCCTTTGGAAACACTAAAGTTTCAACTATTGTGCAAGATTGCTATTACACTAGCAATGTAAATTGTATCACATTCTGTAATTTTCGGATCCTATTATTCTTTATTTTAGTGAGTTTTTTAACCTTTTTTAATATTTGATATTTAAAAATAAAAATAAAAAAACAAGCACCCCCATTTTTTAGTTGGGATGCCAGAGACTACTTGCAGGCACTTGGGTGCCAGTGTTTGGTATCAATCTGACCTCTTGTGGTTCTTTGAAGCACTGTACCCTCTAAAATAGCCCGGATGGAGCCTAGTCTTTACATCAGACATCATCACTTAACTTGTCCGGAAAATGAGCCTATATGGGCACTGAATCAGCTGAAGATTAGGGATCATTCGATATTCTAGTCCAGGGTCTTAATTCCACAAATAAAGCCAATGAAAATTTGCGAACACACACACACACACACACACACACACACACACACACACACACACACATCGGGAGCGTGGGGTTTCATCTCTCCCTTTACTGAAAAATACTACCTTTGTGTTGAATCAGCTTCTTTCTTGATCATACTAGTTTTCTTAACCCTTCCCTGACTTGGCTTCTAATTCCCCGTTTTTACACTCTTTCCATGCCACTAAAACTTCTGAAGAGATGGCACCTCTCAGGGTACACCTATAGGCTCTTGGCTATGTATAAAATGTGCATGATTTTTTTAAAAGATAACCTGCTGCCCTCGATCACTCCAGCCTCTTTGAAACTCTTTACTGACTTCTGTAGTATGCCTGTATCCTGATGTTCAACTATTTCTTCTCTATCCCTTTCATCGCCTTTTCTATTTTCCTCCCGAGTATTCATTTTGTCCATTTTCAAGAAAGTTGTATATACTTGATTTTTTCTAAGAATATATTTTCCAAGATGATAGTGATGAGATCCAGACTCTTGTTGTTCTTGAATCCTCATCAAAATCTCAAACCTAATTCGTAATTGTCACAAATACACAGTATACCTTTAGTCAACGATTTGATTCACATTTACTACTCCTCTGTGTCCAAAATGTAACTCTTTATCATTCCCTCCAAACTAGTTTTACATGCCAATTTTTTAAGTTTTTCATAATAGCGCCATTCTTCAGATTCCTCAACCTACCCTCAGATTAAATATTACCATTTCTTTCCCCTTGCAAGTGATTCCTTTCATGTATTTCTTTATTTCAAGTCTTCTTCAACAATTCCAAATTTACCACCTATACCCACCCTCAACTTCCCTGGCCTGAAATTCTGCCCTCTCTCTGCTTCCCTCCCTCCAAGTTTCAAAATCCCTCCTACAGGTGGAGACAAGTCATCTTATTTTAAACTACTGTTTTTATTATAGTACTTTGTTGCTTAAGAAGTGAGGATACTAAACTCTACTGTATGTTTATTTAGAAAAGTATACTGCTCAAAACACTTCCGCGGGCACTGCACAGGGCTTTCCTTTGCTCACTAGCCGTAGCCTGGGGCTATGGATGCTCCATACGGAGACAGGGGTCCTGAAGTGTTGACCACACAGCTTTACTGCTCTTGGCAAACTTGCGTCACTTAGGTCCCCCTGTTTTCCTATCTGTGCTAATTAACATCTCCAAATTGTATTTACAGATTATGTTGGTATATTTATTTTACACGAATTCAAGCCAGTTAGAAAAAATGGACAGCTCCATACATACTCAGGTCATGGGGCATTGTTATATTAACTACTAAAATTTACCATATCTTTATCTTAAGATACAAATAAAAATAAACTTAGATATTCCAAAAATTATTATAAAAGAAAATGGTTGCCAATTATGGTTTTTAAGAGGTTTGTGATGTTAATACCAATCTGGAATATTTATTTAAACAGCTCTTTAAAGGTATGGTCGGTCCCCAGACACACAGCTTGCTGAGAAGTTAGAAAAATAAAGGCCATGTAGTCAATGGTTCCAAAAGAAAAGTTTATTTAGTTCAAAGGGCGATTCTGACTCTGAGATTATGTCTTTCAAGCATTTTAGTGTAACACTGTAACTTACTTAATGAAGGCTGGTGATAGTAGATAGTAGTTTTATTTTTTAATTGCTATTATTATTTTGTTATTTTATATTCCTACTTGGCAAATTAAAGAGTTGGTAGCATATTAATTAGTCATTTACATTTACGGGAAAAATTTTATAGGACCATGAATTCCTAAAGTCCAGGAAGATGCTTTTTGTTTTGCATGAATAATTATTTTGAAAGTGTGTGAATCTTTTACAAACCTACAGTGTAGAGTGCTGACTATAACTTCCCCTGAGATGCTTTGTCATGGAGATGCGTTCTGGCAGGAGAAGGACAGTTTGAGGGCTGGAGAGCTTTCCTCCTTTTGTCTCTTCTGATCAGCTGTGACCAAGGGTGTCCCCAAGGTCAAGCTTTCTCTGCCCAGCTTTGGGGCTGCCACCCACCTGCCAACTATGCAGAAGATGAATAGTAGCCTTGATACCATCTGAAAGGTGGCACCCTCCCTGCCCTTAGTGTTTGAGTGGAAAAGAGACAGCTGTCTTAACAAGGAAGGCCTGGTTCAGTGATCATTGAACTCAAACCTTCATTTTAGAGAAGCAGAAACAAGTGAATGAGAAGGAAAGAGACACACCTCAGATCACACAGCCTGTAAGTGTTTGAATGAGGACTCATGTGTTGTCTTTATATATCTGAGCACTCTAAAGTCAGTGCTTGCCAGGGCTAGGTAATTATTAAGAATGCAGATTTGAAACTCCCCACCTGTGTAATTATTATTCAGTAAGACTGGTAAATACATATTTAGTAGGCATCCCCAGTGATTCTAAAACAAGCAGTCCGTAAGATGTACACTCACCTAAAGGAAGAGAATCAGTAATTAGTAGATTTTAAATGAACTTTAGAAAACACTAAAAATCTGGGAAACTTGTGTGTTAATGAGGAAACTGGGATTAAATTCCATGTGTTTTAAATGTATGTGCAATGGTCTTACCACTTTTTTTCTCCCTAATGAGATATAAAATGTGTTGGCTAGATCTCGTGTCCTTTCCCTGTTCATTTTGACACTTTGACATATTCCATGCTACCATATGTATTTAAACATAAGAAGAAATCAATTTTAAGATGTACAGTTATATATACCAATACAAGCATCATGGATTAGACACATACAAGTGCACACACACACACACACACACACACACACACACACACACTGGAGGCTATTTGTAAAGCATCAACCATTGTAAGATGCATCCCAATTTCCTAGATGCTAAAATTTGAAACAAAGAAGTCTTATGCAATGTAGCAGGTAAACTAGGGTTGGAAAATATTTTTCAACTTCTTTGCCAAAGCCAATCAGTTGATAGTAGTGTCTGGAAACTTTTGATTCCAAGGGTTCTTGAGCACAAGGCTAAACAAAAACCAATGCCAAGATCAGGTAGAAATGTTCACTATGGACACAGGTGAAGGACAGGCAGAGTAAATACTTGTTTGTGTTGCCTTTTGGATAGAACAAGAAAAATGGAAACAAGTTGCTGGATTAATTTGGAAAAAATTAGCCCGGCAATGAAGATAACTTGTGCCTATTTCAATTCTTAAGCCAAATTATTTTTAAGCTTGAGTGAATCTGTTTTTGTGTACACAGTACAAAATATTAAAGAAGGGTTGTCTCTACTCTTGCCTTACTTCCAGAAAGGAAATAATTTCTGTCATATTAAGCATCCCCAGTCATCCTAAAGCAAGCAGCTTCTGTCCTTTAGAAGCTGTTAATTAATAATCATTAAGTCAACCTCTCATAGTTTACCAAATCCTCCCACATAGTTTATGTAATTTAAATCTAATTCTATTATCCCTTATCTATACTTGTGTAAATTGCAGCTCAGAAAAGTTGAGTAAGTTGCCCAAGATCACACAGTGCAATCAGTGATACATTACCAGAAATTCAACCTATTTTTATTAATATTCATTCTATTTTAACAACATCTGACGATGGCCACTTAGATGCTTATAAACTGAAAACAGTTATGCTCATGTAAAGATTATATTTGCAAAGTGCATTATTTCCACTGATTTTTTTCATTTGTTTTGTTTGCTCATTGTTTTTGCTCTGTCACCCACCAACAGACCTCTCTGGCCAGGGAATACCAACCAAGCACCACCCAGATCTGAAGAACAGATTTAAAAATATGCACTGACCTGTCCTCCTTGACTGAAGACACCTGAAAACATAAAATTAGCACACTGTAATCTTTGAAATGTGAAAATAGTGGGATATGCAAAATTAGGAAATCCCCAAGCCTGGAATGATACTTGCTCTTTGTTCTTGACCATCTCAACAAGTCATGGCATGATTGTTCCTTATGTTTATGCCTGCTTACTTATTAGGGAGGAGTAGAAACTTGGAAAGTGATTTAAGAAGATGCACTGTGATGGGGTAATATTTTTTGGAGGTTGCTATGGGTGAGGGGAAATAGTTGAAAGATCTGGAGATTGATGTTGCAGTCCTGACCCAGTCACTGATTCGCTCGGGGAGCGATCTCCCCAGCTCTGGCCTTGCTCTGGAGAAGCTGGGCTGTGAGAGTTCCCTCTGGCTGTGCCTGAGCTCACGGGGCTGCTCCCCAGAGCCTTTGTTACAGGCAGGAGGGGAAGGGGACGAATTTGTTCTTTGAGCCCAAATTGTTCTGCCCTCTGTATTCAACCAGCTTTAAAGAGTTGGCCCAAGTATAGACCGGTAAGGACAAATTCATTCTCTTTTCTATGACTCATTTCTCCTGCTACATCTCTGATTTCCTGAAAGAGAGAAGAAACTCATAAATACAGTCTTGCTTCTCCCTTTTACAGATGATTGTATATGTGACTTAATGAGCTCTGTGGTTTAAAATGCTGAAATCATAAAAAATCTTAGGTTCAATCCTTGTAAGAGCTGCTGAATTTTGATTTGTGGCTATTCTGTGGAACTTCCAATGCCAGCACCACCTCCGCATGGAAGCCCCGTACCACCGTGATGGGGGGAAGGGGGTGGGTAGGCACTGCCCAGCTCCGGTGCTGGCGACCGTTTGTGAGAGGAGAGATGGAAACGCCATGCAGGGCCTTCTCTGCTGAGGAGAATGAGGAGAGAGCAGGGCTTTTAAATCTGAAAAGAAGGTAGTGATCATCTACTGTGGTGCTTATCAGCCTTATTGCAGTAGTGTGGCTGGTTATTAAAAAATCAAATTTTTAGGACATTTACTTGAAAATTCCATTATATAGGTCAAACAGGGCCTGGAAGTCAATGTTTTTATAATGATTTCAAGTGATTTTTATGCTCAGGGAAAATCACTGTTACAGTTCTCACCAATCTCCCCCTGTACACATCTTTGATCAGAAGAGGGGAGGTCTTAACTGACATGTCATATGCAGAAAAGGGTTAATACCCACAGTGCCTGAGCCCAGCCTAGTACCCTTATTTTAACTTTAAAAGTGGCAATATTTATAGATATTGTTGAACCCTTACTCTGTCCCATCTACTATGTGAAGCACTTAGCATACATTTTCTCACTTAATTACCCAGAAAGGGCTAGTCCTTTTATATTCCCATTTTATAGATGAGGAAAAGGACACTCCGGAAGGCCATCACACCGCTGTAAAATGGAAATGCCAGGACCGAAATTCATTTCTTTTGAAGGCTTTTAGGTACTATGCCTCCCCAAATATGGATATGTCTACAAAGGATCCTGTTTTGGTGTATTTGGTATTAGTCAACCAGTCCCATTAAAAGATCACTTAGTTTTTTTGAAGAGAAGCAATAAGAGGATATCAGTTAATTTCTGGGACCATCTTTGCAAGAAGATTTTAATATAGATCTATTTTTATGCATCTCAGCAATTGACTGAGCCACTCACTCAAGTTATCTGGCTTTAGTAGTCAAACTTACTGCACAATGTCACAGAAATCCTTTATCTAATCTTTCTTTTTCTCCACATTTCTCAATGTATTTGTTTATGTAAATACGACAGCTCCCAGTGAACAGTCTAACTGACAAATTGTTGTTTTTTACATGTTCAGCTACTTAAAATCTCTGATGGCAGCAAAATTCAACTACTCTTGTGACAGAACATGATGCCTCCTACCCGGGAAGTCCCAGGACTCAGTCTCATTTCTCGCCTTCTACAAATGAGAGACCAGGTCAGAGCTTCCCTCAGGTTGACACAGGCCCCTGGGGAGCAGGCAGGCCCAGGTCCCTGGTCGAGAGTCTCCAGCACAAGCTTCGGCCACTATGGCCACGTGGAATGATAAAGGAGGGAAGAAAGAGACTCATAGGACCTGTTCACTCACATGGTCCTGCGATGAAAAACATCAGATTGAAGTGTAATTGTGCTTTGAACACTGTAAATTGATAGGCTACATGACTGCCACTCATTCAGGTGACCAAAGATAGTCCCCTGCTTCAGGAGAGTACTCCACCAGCAGCAGGTACGGTTCTGTGTTTTGAGGTTCAATCACTTTTTCTGAAAGATTCCCTAATTGAGTTGCCTTTTTACCCTTTGTTTCAATTTCAGTTATCTGAGGGCAGGAAATCTTTCCTTTGTCTTAAGAAGTAAAACTAATATTTAAAACAATTACCATCCTCCAGGCTAGTTCTGTGGTGCACACATCATTCGTGATATCTGGGAGACCTGGATTTGAATGCCAAATTCTACTTACTAGTTGAAAGTCCTCTGGCAATTTTCTAATTTCTTTGTGCCACCGTTTTCTTATATGTAGAATTTGGATTTGAATACCTTGCTGTGTATATTGGAGATAATGTATGCAACCCCTCAGTACAGGCCTGGAATGTAGCATATGCTCAACAAAATGTTATTTTTATCATTAGTACTATCACCATTTTCATCCTCACCATCATTATCATTATGATGATCTCTCAGAATTGGTGTTTTATATCAAAATTGTTAGAATTTTGAAATATGGTAGATAAATACATACTTGTTATTTCCAGTTCAGTATAAATATTGGATTTTAATTTTAAGGGAAAAAAAACTCACCTGAGAGAAAGCAGAAAAGAGCCAGAGAGAGGAGCAGAGAGACACCTGATATTTTCATGGCGCCAGTTAGCTCACTCAGATCAAGGCTGCCTTGTCCAGCTCTGATTCTCTGTCCAGACACTTCCCAGAGCACTGAACCACACACTCAGACCTATATATAGACATGATTGAGGGAGTTGAGATCTCCACCTTCTTTATAAAATCACATTCTAAAACCATATGCAAATCTATACACTTTAGGCATTTATTGGGACCTCTCACCAACTTAAAGAAATGCTTCATGTTCCCTGTCAACTTGAAAAATCAGGACAATTATGTGAGTCGCACCTTAGATCTTATTAACAGAGGATGTCATTTTCTACCGGTAGTCTACATTTTCCTGACGACCAACATATCCTCTCTGCTCTTCCCTCTTAGGTTTCACTGTATTAAAGGGATGACTCATGGGCAGAGCCCCACTTGATGCCTGCCTCCTTCAGACAGGTCCTGCAGGTCTGTGGTCCAGATGAGTAAGCACAGTGGAATGAAATCCTGGGCGTAACTTGGATTTTCAGCGTCCACATCATCCGAGGTGTACCTAAAAGAAGTAGGTATTCTACACTGTCACAGAACTGCATCAGAAAAAGCATTTTCTGGGCAGGAATCAGCTTGTAAATTTTTTGAATCATTAGTCAAGTGCCAGTGATTTTCCATTTTTAACTCAAAACAAAAAAGGGAGTCAATATTTTTTTTTTGATCTGGTAAAAATACATCATTTGGTGAGGAGCCAAGATGGTGGCGTGAGTAGGGCAGCAGAAATCTCCTCCCAAAACCATATATATTTTTGAAAATACAAATACAACTATTCCTAAAAGAGACCAGTGGATACAGTACAACAGCCAGGCTATACCTACATCTGTGAGAACTCAGCGCCTCACGAAGGAGGTAAGATACAAGTCACGGCTCGGCAGGACCCAAGCGCTCCCCCTAACCTAGCAACCTGGCAGGAGGAAAGGAGTCAGAGTGGGGAGGGAGTGAAAGCCCAGGACTGCTAAACAACCAGCTCTAGTTATCCACACTGGGAGCACAGACACAGTGCATGGTGTGCTGGATATTAGAGAAATGAAAAAGCAAAATCAGCAAACGTGTCCCTGTAACAAGCTACCCTGGGACAAAAAAAAAGCGAGTACTTTTTGAAAGTCTTAAAGGGACAGGGGCCTCACAGCTGGACAGAATCATCCCGGCACACTCAGCCCAGCAGATGGGAATCCCGGGGAACTCCAGGTGCTCTAACCCCCTGGGCGGCAACGCAGCTCTAAAGCCCCTCATGGCAATAAGCAGCCTGCCAGTCATTCCCCTGGCCAGGGCCCCTG